TCATGCTGTAATGCTAGCACACTGTGGTGTCTTTTCTGTATATCCTGGCTATAAATATGATAGCATGGGACCTATATGCATCATAGGATGACTGTGTTCAATGTGACAAGACCAGAACAGATCACACACTCAGATAAATTACTGTCCTTTTTTTTTTTTTTTTTTTTTTTTTTTCCAGGACAAGGTTTCTTTGTGTAACAGCCCCTGCTGTCCTGGAACTCATTCTGTAGATCAGGCTGGCCTTGAACTCACAGAGATCCACTTGACTCTGCCTCCTGAGTTATTGGGATCAAGGCAGGCATCTTATCTACAGTTATTGTCTTCTTAAAGGGACTAAAATGGATGTTGTTGATAAGACATGGAGAGAGAAGGAGATTAGCATCCACACAGAAGAAGGTTCTAGAGAAACTAGGACCAGGTGCTGTAGCTCAACAGCAAACACTGGGATCACAGCTTCTTGTAGGGCAAACCCAATCCTGGTAGGGAAGCCTGATAGGTACATCAGCTAGTGGATCCAACAAAGTAGCAGCATGTCCTCACACTGAACAATTGTTCATGTGATAGAAGCTGGGAGCAATTCCATTGAGAGACTGAGTGGAGAATCCAAAATACCTCTCTCTGCTGTGGTCTGGTATTTGGGAACCTCATGTATCCAAAGAAATGCAGTTACCACTGTATGCTTTTAGGAGGGAGCTTTGGGGAAGTGATATGATCAAGAGGTCTGAGTCAACATGGGTAGGATTAATGTTCATATGAAAGAGGTCACAGGGATCTAGCCATCTTCATCCTCCTCACTACCTGAGGACATCAAGAGGGGGTTCCATCTATAAAGCAGGATATGGGTTCTTGCTAGAAACTTAATCTTGGACATCCCAGTCTATAAAACTGTAAGAAATATACTTCTATTGTTTATAAGGTACTCAGCCCAAGGGTGTTTTGTTATAGTGAACCAAATAGTCCAAATTGTCCACTGACCATACCCACTTTAGAAACGGTTTTACAATGAAATAATGCAATGGGGGCAGGGTAGGCAGCGTTGGCTGTAACTGGTAATTGTGAGGGAACTATGGTTCCTGTCTTCCATGTAAGCAGAAAGAACCAAGATGCTCATAAGCTTTCCCTCCTTCCGTGGGGCTGCCAGCTTCTGGGTACCATTATCGCTTTCTTTGTGCAGTGGCTCCCAAGCTGGGGCTGAAATCAAGTGGCACAAACACTTTTCTCCAGAACAGGATGCTCAACTGCCATCCGTGTCAAGCCAGCTCTCAGTCCCAATTTCAAGTGAACTTGACAACTGAGAATTGCCAGGAAAAGCCAAGTTCTTGTGGCTAACCACGGACAAAAACTTTCCCCGACAGTTTTCTTGCCTTAAGCACTCAGCTGGCTCTGGCCTGTGACCAGAAGGAATTAAAAACCCATCAAGGAAGTCCCTGTGTTCTTCCTCCTCCACCTCCCTTCCCTTTCCTTCCTGAACAATTCAGTCCAAGAATCATTAGGTGGTGCTGAAAAACATGACGCCTGCAGAAGGCTGGGGGGAGCTACTGTTCTGAGTCAGAACAAGGTGGACAAGGGACAGCAGTGACACATATAGGGTCTCTTTACCAAGGGGGGAGGCACATAGTGATCATCTAGAAATTAATACTGGTATATAATTTGATGAAGAAAACATGTGTCCCGTTACATGGTGTGTCTAGAGAGGTCAAACAAAACATTGAGGATATCAAGAAGTTGTAACTATGAAAAGGGAAGCTGTAAATTTGGAAAGGGAAGAAGTGTAGTGAGATGTTCACCTTGTCCGCACCTGTGGCATAGACCACGCCATTGGGGGTGGAGACAGGGCCGGACGTTACCTGGGGGGACTAAGTCTGAGGAGGGGGCTTGGAGAGCTCTCTTGCTTGCAGTACACGGACAGGAGCACTTCCGGAGGCATCCTTGGGACCAGGAACCTGCTGGTGTACACCCGTCTACGTTGTAAGTTATTTCTCCCTGAATAAACAGCTATTCGGCCTATTCGTTTCTCTTGATCCTTATTAAACATCTATAAAGAAGTGTTTCATAGAACATGTTCCTCTCAACAAAACAGCTGCTTGCAGAAGGCCATCATCAATGGGTATGTTGACTGCTCCCTCAAGAGAAGTGTGGGGGGTGGGGTGGTCACTGAACTCTCATCTGAGATTTCCACTACTCCCTCTTTCCCCTCCCAGCATTTGTATGCAATTCTGCACACAGCCTCCAAGTCTCAGGAGTCTCTAGAATACATAGGCTGGGGAAAGCGAACCAAGGGAGGATTTTACACAGCTAGGGGAAGCTATCATCCAAGCTGGGTAAAGACTTTTCAGTGCGTCAGCTTTGGGGTCAATATGCTCCTGTAAGCAACCCTGCACCCAAGCTCTGTAAATAACTTCAAAAAACTCATAAGTTCTTAGGGTGACCTTTGGTGAACTGTCCTTGATTTGACCCTAGAAGCTTATAAAGAGGGTAGGAATTGTTTGTCTCCCCAGGCAAGAAATTCTTATGACAAATGTGGATAACTCTATTAAATCAGAATTTAAAATCCCTGGGTGGGTGAAATTATTTACCATGCACCCCTGACAATTTGAGTTTGGATCGCAAGGACCTGAGAAAAAACCTAGATGCAATAGTACATTTGTGTTAGTAACATCCCTACAGTGAGATTAAAGGCAGAGATGGGAGAATCACAGGGAAGCCTGCAGACTGGCTAGCCTGGGGTACACAGTCCAGGAGCAAGAACAAGAGCCTGATCAACAAGGTGGAAGGTGAGGACTGATTCTTGAAAGAAGGTATCTACTCACCTCCAAATGCACACCATGACGTGAGCACACTCACAGTCTCTCTCCTCTCTCAGTCTCTCCTCTCTCTCACACACACACACACATACACGTGCACACACATACATGTGCGCGCACACATCAATTTTTAAAAAGATCTCTGCATGAATCCATAATTTCCTAGATAGATAGATAGCTAGACAGACAGACAGACAGATAGATGACTAGATAAGATAGACATATAGGTAGATGTTTAATCTCCAGTTCTGTCTATCAACAATGCCTGTGAGCACTAATATAACCCAATATTAATGCACATGCCAATCTTGATGTATACATCTTGTCCCATAGAAAGAGAATAAATGTCCTTTGCTCTTTGGGGGTAAGACTGATTTCAAGGCTGGGAAAGTACAGGGTAAAATGGAGCATTGTACAGTAACAAAAAGTAAGGAAGCTCTTGAAGGAGAACTGCTTCTCAAAAAGAAGCACAATTGAGCTGGAGGGGATTCCCACAGCTATAACTAAACAAAATGAGGATAGAAATAACAACGTGAGGGATAACGAGCTATTGAATGCAATGGGATCCCATGAGACTATATTGATGTAAATAAATCCTAGACTTCCAGTCTGTGTCTAAGCAAAATATGTATTAATTAGAAAAGGAAAACAGTTTCTCTGTGAGAAGCCTTACAAACACTCCTTAATCAAGTGATCAAAAGTACTATTGAATGGTCAAAGCTAAGATCTGCCCATTCTGGAAGAATCTCACACTATATGCTACTTGCTTAGACACTGTGAGAATTCAGCATCAACCTGGTGGTCCTTCCTCTACCAAAGGTGAGATGTAGTCATATGAAAGCATCAGAAAGACCCAATGTGGAGTGTGCTACAAAACTTGGGAAGTAGGGCATCGTGGTGCCAAGTGATTCTCAAACAGCCCAGACATACTGGTACTTTACTGGAGAGCTTTCCTTTAGGTTTGAGGTTATCTCAGAATTTAGAAGTTAATGATAGAGTGATCCTGTGTCACTGTAGACTGATGGAGGTCAAAGTGTCAATATGAAAGAGTTGAGATCTAATGACTCAAGTTAAACAGTAATTATACTTTAACGTAATGCTTCTTAAATTGCCTTTGATAAAGGATCAGTTTCCCCACAAATCCACTGTAAAACGCACAATACCCTTGGGTTTCAGAATGGTACGGAAATGTTTTCTAATGCTTTCTTTTAAGGTCTGTACTCCTGTCAGCATGAAACATAACAATGCACGGATTAGAGTTGACCACGCCCAGAGAAGCACATCTCCAAGGTAAGATGAACAGACCCCCAGTTCCTATCATATCCACACGGGAAACAAGCTTCTGGTCGCATTGTTAGCCACAGTGGCATCCACAGCATTACCCTAATTGATAGCAGCCATCTATCCCAACAATTCAAGAAAGGGGCTGCTCAGACAATGAAGGGAGATCAAATATGTCCCTTTTGCTTGTAATAACTTCACTTTTCTAAATGGACAAGAATGGATGGAGATGACCTAATTCCAGAGTATACACATGTGTAGCCTGAGAAACATTGTGAGAAAATGTCTGAGGAAGACATTGTTAGAACATCTCGTGGTGTAAGCATCACAAAAGAAGACTTAGAAACCAAGATGGGTATAATGTCACACTGGGTGGTATCTTCTGGGATCATTACCTTATATGTGGTCTATCGTTACCTGCTTGTAACTGGTTGTGATCACATAAAGGAAGCCAGAGAAGATGAACAGAATATCTGCGGTCTGCAAACCCCAGTCACCATCACCACTGCTGGGGAAGGAAGTCAGCATCCCAAAAGGGGTTGGTAGAACTCCCCGCCCCCAATTAGATGAGTTTAATTTAACAAGCTTTAGGAGGTCCAGTTACTGACTTGAATACACAGATGGCACATAGGCACTCTCTACCAAGGTCGATGCCACACTTGGCCAAGAAGCAGCCCTCCAAGGGGGCGGGGATAAAGAATCTGTACAATAAATCAAGAAAAGAGAGGCAAGGAGCCCTTGGATCCACTGAGAAATAGCAACCACCACCTAAACTTGGCATCTTTGCAGTTGACACCCTAACACCCCCATTGCTAAAATCCTCCTGACACTGGCACACTGGAGGCTCTACACGTAACAGTGTAAGCAGCAGTTGCTCTGTGTGACACCTGGGTACAGGATGCAGCTGTCACTCACCTGGAGCAGTTTTGTAGCAGGTGGTTCTAGAAGGCAGCGATGGGGTGTTTTTGGCCCTGGGGCTCGGACTGCTCTGAGCCACCTGCCTCTGCCGCTTCAACTCCTCTTCCCTTTCCTGGGCTGCTCGGATCTCTTCTTCAATCATGGACAAAGTCCGCTGCTTCCTTGACCTCAGTTTGAAGGGCCCAACCATGACATCAGACTCTTGAGTAGCCAGGAGGGAGGCTGTGCTTCTCAGCTCGGCTGCCTCTGAGTACTTGCTGAAATACCCTCCTTCGGGCCTGCTCTCCTCCATGTTGACCGGCCCACTGGGCTGCAGAGCCGTCGGCGGCTGGGAGGGCCCCTTTTCCCTGAGTGCCTTGTCCTCCACAGGGAGGATCTTTGGTAATACATCCCTTTTCTCTTGAACAGGAGAGGACACCTGAGGTGGTGCGAACATGCTCTGCGGTTTCTCGGAGCCAGAAGCCCGGCTTTCGGCTTCCTCCCTTGTTGCTTCAGGTCCCTGCTGTTCTGATCCCTCCTTGCTGGTGTGCAACTCAGCCTTATCCACCTGCTCAGCTATGGCTTGTTGAATGGCATTCTGCACCAGGAGCCCAGCCTGATACTCCAGGGGGTCATCAACTGATGGGGAATCTCCCAGCGTGGAGGAAGAATAGAAACCATGGTCGCTGAACGACTTGGAGATCCCATCTCCACTCTCGGAGGGGTTGTCTGTTTGGGGAGTCTGAGTCAGGGAGAAGTCAGCCAGCAAGTTTTCCTGAAGGGCAGTAGGTGTCTCATTGGAAGCCCCACTGTCACTTATGTTGTCCATGCTGAAGTCGTTGGATAGAGTCTCCAAAACAGTAGTGTCCTGAGATCTCACAGACAACTCATCCAAACCTGAGTCCAGCTCCTCTTGGGTCAAAGATACATTGACGGATCTTGAAAACTGGTCCAGAATCCCATGATCTTCGTCCTTGACTACAGTAAGAATGGCCCGGGCACTCGTGAACTCTCCATCCTCTGCCCACAGCTTAGACAAGGGCCCACGTTTGGAAGGCTCGCTGTACGACCCTTCCTTTCCCTGAGTGGCAGTGCTCCCTGGGCCTGCTCCTGCAGACGGGCTCTCAGATACACAGGACACTTTCTGCCCCTTGGCTGCCTGTGTGCCGCTGTCTTCCAGAGGTCCCCCGACAGCAGCTGGTCGCAAGATGGTCGGTGGCTTGTCTGAGTTGATGGATCCAAGAGGTCTATAGAAAGGCTTAATGGAGAACAGCCTTGGTGTGCTCTGGCCTTTGGCCAGTGTTTGCCTGGAATTCTCCATTAGCTGGAACTGTTTGCGTGCAGCAGAGAAGTCAATCTGCTCAGTGACGACATCCTCCTTGGTGTGCTCAGTGCCATCTAGGTGTTCATAAGAAGCTGAGGCTGTGCAGAGCTGGGACAGGGGCATCTGATGCTGCTGCTGCTGCTGCTGCTGCTGCTGCTCCTGCTGTGCCCTTCTCTCTTTCCGCTCCTTGTACTTTCTGTGCGACTCCAGATGTTCCTCGTCCAGCTGTTCCTCGATAGTTTTTTCCTGGGGTGGATTCCACCACTTGGCAGCAATGCCAGGGTTCTTCTTTACAGCCTGACTCCGAATGAGCTCCCTCCGCTCCTTCTCCAGCTCTAGCATCTCTTCTGAGGGCCTCACTTTCCGCACGCAGAACTGCTCCTTCTCGCGCTCATCCTCCTCAAAGAGTTTGGAGGGCTTCTTGTCCTCGTGGAAGGCACGGAGCTCAAACTTGGCCTCCTTCTTCAGTGTGGTGAGCGTGAACTCTCCATCTCGAGAGGAACAGTGCGAGCTGATAGAGGAGCTAGGGCTGGCAGGTGCCTGCAGGTCATCTCCCAGCAGGCCTTGGGGCTGGTCAGTGGAGTGTCCATTGGCTCTTTCTCCTTCAGCCATGGTATCAGAAGGGCTTCTACTGAGCTCAATGTGAGGAGGCACCTGCCTGCCAGATGCTTTCTCAGTGGGTTTTGCCTGGGTAGTGGCAGGTGGATCGGCAGGTGAACCCTGGCTGCTCACTAGTCTGGCTGCACCAGGCTCTGTGGAGGAGATTCCGTTATAAGTTCCATCCACAGAGGAATCACAGCAGTTGGCCTCCAGCACCTCATCTAGATACTGGATCTCTCTGGCGACATCATTATCTAAGGACTCATGCTGATCAGTGAGGAGGCCGTTGTGTGATGGGGAATAAGAGAGGGAAGAGTGGTCCTTGGAATGGGGTGTAGAGGTGATGCCAGGCACACTTTTACATTCTGCCACAGACACCTCAATTTCCATGTTTTTGTGATCTGGAGAGAGAGAGCTGGCAGCAAGCTCCAGGCGAATGTCACCACAGTTGTCTTGCTTGCTTCTCAGCTGGTTAGCATCCTCAGAAAGCTGGGAAGGCTTCTAGAATAAAGAGAAAACACAAGTAGGGGGTTAAATGCACATTTCTGGATATAGATGCAAAGAAATTCACTCATAAATCACCGTTTTTACTACCACCTTCCTTTATTTTATGCTGGTGGGGGCTTTTCATCCTTGGCCCTTCACTGACATTTTAAAACCCTGAAAGCAAAACCATATTTCATAAGGTGGATATCAGTACCTTCTACTCATAAGAATTACAGACACATACTGAGGATACACTTGTTATGCATAGGTTCACTCTCCAGCACTGGGATGCAGGAGTTTAACAGAAATTTTCAGTGTAGAAACTTATTGGCAGACATTCGATTCCAGTAAACAGGGGCCAAAGCTGGCCACCTCCATGGAAAATGATTGCAGAAAAAGCAGACAAACCAGGGAAGGTGCCGGAAGGTGAGAGCCACTCCCAACCTCCAGCTTCAGCCAGCCAGTGACGGACTACAGAAAAAGCAGCATGTCCCTTCTCTCTCTCTCTCTCCAACTTTATGAAGGAAAAGTGGAGAGTAATAGGAGGCTAATGGGAACACAATAAAGTTAAAGAAATCACGACTCTATCGAAACACCTCAGAACAGCGTAAGAGCGTAAGAAGACAATATGCTATAAAAAGAGAGAGAAACCAAAAGGCATTTACTCACTGATGCTCATTAAACAGGTAGGAAATATGTATTTTGCAGAGTAGATGAAATGAGCAGGAACCTTAAGCCCCAGGTGACAAGCCCTGTCCTGAAAGTAAAGCGGGGTTTTCTGTGTGCCCGTGGAGCATGACTTTATTCCAGAGTTTACATAGGGTGAAGCCAATCGCAGCCCTTGACTCTATTGGAGCACTGCTAGTCTCTAAAATACAAGCGCCCTAACTATATCTTCCACAGCACTTTCAAGGAACTGGCTTTTGGCTCCTGCATCAGCACTGTCCTTTTCCTCCTAAGCACTTCACAGCTCAAGTGTGCCAAGCTCATCCATTGACAGCTCTCTCAAGAACTCAGAAATTGTATCTAGATCACAAAGAACTACTTCATGAACTAGTAGCAACTGGGTATGAAATGTTGAAAACCCGAAAAAAGCATTTGGCAGTATATTTTTGCTTTATCAAAAAAAAAAAAATGGACTTTGAATTAGAAATGACAACACAAGTACTATGTCTTAGGTATTTATGTCATCTGTTAAAAAGACAGGGGTTTGAAATGGCTTGGTCAGTAGAGAGCTTGAATGAGGACCCGAGTTCTAGCCCCAGAACCTGTGAAAACAACCAGCTGTGGTAGCACATGCTTGTAATCCCTGTGCAGGGGATGCAGACATGAGGGGCTCTGCCAGCCAGCCCAGCCTAATTTGATAACCCTAAATCCCAGTGAACAACTCAAAAAAAAAACAAAGGACACAGGGATTTGACCTCAGGCCTCCACATATATTCTTCACCCATACACATACACACACACATATGCCCAAATGATAACTGGTCACAGTAGCTCACCACTATAATCCCAGAATTTGAGAGACTGAGGCAGGAAGGCCGCCAAGAGTTTAAGAACAGTCTGTGCTACAGAACAAGACCTTACCTCAAAACAACAAAAGATGCTTTAAAAACTGGTTAAATGGGCAGGCAAGATAAAGGCCAGCCACCAAGTCGGATGACCTGAATTATGAGTTCAATCCCTGGGACCTGCACGGTAGAAGGAAAGTGCCAACTCTAGCACACAACACACATGATCTCCACACAACACACATGAAGGCAAAATGGCATGAATGTACACACCACCCCACAAAATGACAAAACATAACTTTAAAAAACATTGCTTGAAATGCAAAATTCGGGAAGCCAGGTGTGACAGTGCACAGGAGGCAGAGGCAGGTGGATCTTAGTGAGCTTGAGGCTGATCTGATCTCCACAGTGAGTTCCAGAACAGCTGGGACTAACCAAAGAGATTCTGCCTAGTAAAACAACAACAAAATCTGTTTGGGCCAATGGGGTAACATGACAAGATTGTTTTCCAATCCCTTTTTTTTTTTTTAAAGTTCACACTAGAAGGCATAAACAGGAAAGTGTCCCTTCCTGTGAGTTACAGGCAGTCCAATCTTTTTCTTTCCACAAGCTTAAGAGATCTCTTCCTGATTGATGCTCAATTCTAGTCCCTTCAGGGAACAGCTGCTTCACAGGCCACCAGGGAGAAGAGCTCAAACCCATACTGCAGCATTAACTATTCACAGCCAAGCACCAGAAAGTTAGGCAACAATTGCTACAAAAGAGCAAATGCCCCAGGCCTGATACAATCAAAGAAAGCCACCAGCAACTGCACCAGGTGAAGGGGACTGGGCTAAGGAATCGCCACGCAGGAGTCTGGGCTTGACATCACTAAATGATGTCTTGTTTAAACCAGCCAATGCTCTCTGCTCCTTTTGAAGATAAGGGAAGAACGAGAATTTTCTCCAGGCTGCAGATAAGAAACCGGAATCCAGTTTCAGATAAAACGCACATCCGTGACATTGACTGGAAAACCCCTTCCATAGGTGATCTCCTCTACTGTAATAAAGAGATGTGAAAAACCAGCAAGTGGAGTTTTCTGAGGTCAAAGAAAAGAGTAGGGTGCTAAGGGCTTATAGGTGATCTTTTGCCTGCTCTAGACAACCCTCCAGGTTGAGTCTTAATGCCATGGTACATAATGCCTGCCCTCCGAATGGCTGCCCAGAATAGCCAGCAGCTGCTGAGGATGTCTGCAATTTACTCTGGAATTCCTGGGCAAAGACAATATAATATAATGCAGCTGTGTGCTTCTGAAATGCATTTAAATTGCATTCCAAGGGCACACAGCCATCCTGAGGGTAGAAACTTAGGAAGTGGTCACCTTATACAGAAACCCCACCCTCCAAAGGTGGCTTCCTCCAGCACTTCTAGCTACCTTAACCCCTGCAGACTCTAGGGGATTTGCTAATTGCATAATTAAGATGAGAAATGGGCTTCCATTAGTGAAATTAGTGGCTTGTCTATTAGCATAATGAATCTTAGAATTGGGTGGGGATGAAGTCGCTTTCTGGGGATTGGAGACTCCCCAACCCTTGCATGGGGAGTGAGCCCATATTGGTCCTGGCTTGCAGAGCCTGGGGTTGCTGGTTTTTGAGATCTGAGAACTAAAAGTCCGATTTCCAACCTTGGGTTCATAGGACATGGGGTGTTTAATGTGATTACAAAATCCCTCCTATGCAAAACTAGGACATTCCCCCCTAAGAGAAGTGTGGACTTCGGTGACCTCAGAAAGCTGAGGCTTCTGTGAGAGTCCCGGATCAAGATTTTATAGCTATTGTTTGCTTAGTAAATGTCAGTTTGAGTGCTAGGATTTGGCTCCAAACGTGCTTTTAATATAACCAAGTAATCCCTTTGCATCTAAAGCTGCCATTATTAAAAATAATAAATAAAAATTAAAAAAAATTCAGCAGTCAAGGCACCAATCAGTTTAAGAGAATTTATAATTCCAAGATTCAGGTGCCAGAGCCAGTGTTAGCTCTTCCAGTAAGGACCCTGTTGGGCAAGCCAGTCTTGAGCTCTTCAGCAGATGCAACACATTGGTAAGAAGGGCCAATAATAACTTTCAAATATTTTCTGAGAATTAAACTTAGAAAAACATGTTTAAAATGCATCATGAAAATTGTAAAATGGTTCATGTAAATGTAACAAAAAGTTTATTTTCCAGAAATTTTACATCAAAGTGCAAATGACCAATGTTAACTTCTTTCTTGGAGGAGTCTGACTTCCTTGAGAATAGCATTGGGTTATGATTTTCAGAACAAAAGTGGTAATAGGAAGAGATGAAAGGAGTCGATCCGGACATGTCAGACCAAAAGCACTTTCTATTTTCCCAAGCCCTTCCTCACCTCAGCTGTTAAATGTTTATTTTAGTTCAAAGCTAAACATATTTGGGAAATGCTATTTGTGGCTAAAGCCAGGAGATAATTTTCATAAAATTATTTTTAAAAGTCAAATCTTGGGACCTGGAGAGATGGCTCCACAGTTAGGGGCCCTTACTGTCCCTGCAGAGGACCCTAGGTCAGTTCCCAGCACCAGGTGAGATGTTCACAGTGCTCCGCAACTCCTGCCCCAGGGGACCTGCTACCCTCTTCTTGCCTCCATGGGCACCCACACTCCCATGCACATACATACATAAGAATATACGATTACTTCAAAACAAAACTAATACTCAGCATTTGGGAGGCAGAGGCAGGTGGATCTCTCTCTCTCTGAGTTCAAGGCCAACCAGGACTATATAGAAAAATTCTGTCTCTAAACAAAATAAAAGTATTATTATTATTATTATTAATTTTTAAAAGAAGTGTCAAATCCTGAAGATGCATTGGGGGGTGGGGGGATATAGCTTAGTGGCAGAATATGGTACAGGAATGCCCTGGGTAGGATGCCCACCCAAGTATATAGAAAACACTAGTACAAGGATCGTGTGTATGATATGGAGCCTGTCCATCCCCAGTGCTTAAGCAGCCATGGAAAATGCTGCCTTGGGTGAGGCTTCATAGCAAGCCTGTCCTGTGGACACACTGAGTGCCACATAATTAACATCAGTCTTAGGTCTTAGCACAGCTGACATACTAAAGACCAGGATCTCTCTGTTTTAAGTGGGAGAGTTTTACTACCTATGACTTTAGAATTAAGAGGTTTAGAGAAATAAGAGGCATTTCCCCCAAGATCACATCTGGCTGGTAAATGACACCGCTCTTAATTATCTCAGTGTGTCAAAGGTTTCCTCCCAAAATGACAGGAAGCTTCCAGAATGATAAGGGAAAGGTCATGAAGAATGGACAGGTGAAAGAGTATTTGTTTGGTTTTGTCCTCGGTCCTTGCAAGCTTGAATCTCCTTAGGTAAAATTAGATTCAGACTTGGTGCTTAAAAATTACTTGGGGTTGGAGAGATAATTCAGAGGTTAAGAACACTGACTGCTCTTCCACAGGACCCAGGTTCAATTCCCAACGCCCACATGGCAG